GCGTAAACAGAGACACACCTGGCTGGAGCGTATCATAACACATTGTTTTCCTAAGACAATCTAGCAATTTTTCTTCCATGGTTCCTAACCTTGACACAATCCTCTATACGTCAGTCCCCCCTCCCAGAACATTCAATTTCTCATGTCCCATTTCCTCCCCTTAGCACATTCTGTAACATTCTGTAACCTTTCCATGCCTCAGTCCTTCACCCTAGCACACTAGGGCCTCAAATTCAAATAAAATGATGATCTTCAACTCCTCTCCGAACCAGTGGTCTTCACTCCTTTTCAGTAGTCTTCGTCTTGAACAACTTCACCGAGTTTCAGATGCTCTTTGACTACTCTCTGAAATATCTCATACCATAACAGGCCAAAATAAGTGTTCGTTCATGTTTATCGGCAATGAACATGAAACTTCCCACTATGAATGTCTTCATGCCAGATGATGGTGCTTCCATATCCCCGGATGCTAAATACAAACCTTCATTTCAAAATTAGAAAATCCTGGTGGCCACACCTAAAATACCAATCCCGGATCCAACTGTGTCTTCCATCTCCACGACCACCATCAATAGCCAGGTACCATCACTTTTGGGGGCCAGATGTAAGCTGGCAAGGTCCTTGCACCTGCAGGGGCTAGCAAGGCCGGGACCGTTACCCACACAGTTTTCCCAGACTTGTTTGGATAGTGATTATCAGTAGAATGGGAGTAACATTTGTAGAATGAAAACAGCCTTTCATAGCTTGCCAAGAAGTCTGTACCTATTTACTGAGATATGCTGTACTGAGAACTTGTCCTTCTGCTGTATCCCTCCCTTAGAGATTAAGAGGAACAAAGAATACATTCCTCTTGATAGACCTCCTATTCAGTGTGTTATGTATAAATAGTGTTGTGTGGCTAATAAAGTTGCTTCAGTTCATCAAGAGAACTGGGGTCCTCCTGACCCCGCTTTCCTGTCTTTCTTTCTTTTCTCAATTCCCACCTCCCTGCCTCAGCCCGGCTCAACCCTGTCAGGCTGGCCCTGATACATCACACTCTCCCAGACGATCACACCACCTCCCTCTCACCCATATTGCTCTCTGTGCTGCAGCCACAGGGCATCTAATGAGTCAGATCACCTGCCTCTGTTGCTCCAAATCTCCCATTGCCCTCATCACCTGCAGAACAGACAACCATGTTGTCACAAAGCTCCTCCAGACCTGAATCCGCTCCCATTCTTACCTG